GTCAAGGTCGAGATCTTGGAATCCAAGAGGTGTTCTTCGCATCCGGTGTTTAACTGGAGCGTGGTCTTTTGTATCTATCTTATGCCTGACAGCTGTAAGGCAACCAAGATCTAGGTCGTGCTGTGCAAATACATCCTGGTATTCAATTAATAACTTCTTGAGTTTTAACTTATCTTCTTGACTAATCACATGCTTTATAGAACGTTCATACAGGTCTGTTAAATGTGATGGCAACGAAGACGATTCTTCTTGGCTTAAACCTGGTGCCGTGGGCACCTGGGTTTGTGTTTCTACGATACCACGACGGACATCTGGAGTTTGATTTTCATTTTCTTCCGAAGTCTCCTCCAGTATACTGTCAATCTCTTCCAAATGACCTATAGGTGTACCCTTTTTTATACGTATGTAACGATTTCCATCATATAAAATAGTCACAGGACAAGATTTACCTTTTCCGACAACATGCGAAACTAAAACTCCACTGGCAAGAGGGCATGGCTTCAAAATGAACTCTTGTTCAGATCCTCTGTGTGTATCAATGCTGAGGATCATTTTTGAATTCGGCGGGACTGTGATTGAACGCTAAATGCAGACTTGTTGAGTAGCACTATCATCAGATCCAGTAACAAATGATGCAGGTATAACTCTGTTGTTCACTGTAAGTGATGGAGTGCTGAGGTTTATGACTGCACCCAGCGTATCCAAGATATCTAGACCTAGAATGACATCGTCTGTAAGTTGTGCCTTGCACACGTCCCACCTTACTTCTAACCCATCTATATTCAGGAGTGTGTTCCTTATGATCTTGCCAATGACCAGTTGCTCCCCCAAACCACGTAGCGTCACTGTTTCGGGACATTATATATCCTCGGGTATTAATTTCTCGTTGACGAGTGTAATCATAGCTGCTGTATCAACAATCATGCTTGCATTTTGTTGAAACACTGTTCCCCTTACTGCCAAACTTTTCCCAATCGTACGTCTTGTAACAATATCAGACGAAGCCGTGGGCCTCTGTTCTGATTTGTCAGGTGGTATTTTCCATTGGCCATGTGATTTAAGAGTCGAGTGTTGGCCTACCGGCTCGACCCGTTGGCGTTTAACGACTCAGTTGTTGGAGTAGAGCTAGGATAAGCTCTGTCGCCAGGTGAAGGGGACCGTTGTTTAAAGTAGCCTGGATTTCTAGAGTTTGGTCGTGGTGATGGCGAACGTTGAAGTTGAGGACTAAATGACCTCTGTTGAGGACTATATGACCTTTGTTGAGGACTATATGAACTTTGTTGAGGACTATATGAACTTTGATTCGGAGGCGGTGTAGTTGATCGATACGCATTGTACTTAGGTGGTGTATATCTTTCAGGAGACCTACCGCGTGTATGTTGATCAGAAGAAAGCATCACCTCTGTCAATTTGGTCACAAGTTGAGTCAAGTTCCTTACTTCCTTTTCCAATGGACTATTAACAGTACTAGTACTTTCTTTGTCATGTGATTTACCAGCGCTATCAGCAAACGAGACCTGTCTGTGAGCAAAATTTGGACTTCTAGATCCATATATAGCCTTCTGATTTGCTATGAACGTTTTCATGAGTTTCAACGCCTTATTGATGGACTCCGGGTTCCTTTCTATGACGTGACGGGCAGCCTCCTTGTCCTTACAGCCTCTGATGAATGCCTCTGCCAATTTGATCAATGACAGAATTGTCACATTTATCATACCCATCCATTGCAATAAAATGGACCCGTTCAGCAAACTCCTCCAATGTTTCACTGTCTTGCTGCCTCACATACTGCAACTGGCGTCTTGCTGAGACAGGTTCGTCCTTTTTGCTGAAACGCTGTTTCAGTGCTTTCCTTAAAGCCTTATAGTCATCGTCGATGTTGACTTTTCTTGCATATTCTAAGGCCACATCAGCTAGACAGTCCAATAGTCGGCAAACTTTATTTCTATTTTCCCATTGTCTCCTTCCTGCTGATCTTTCAAACTGATAGATAAAGGCTTCCCAAGTAAGAAAACCTCTTCCTGTGAAACTTGCATTTTAGGAAGCTGAAGACTTCTACTCCTGTCTCTCGCCCCAGAGTTTTCCTGCCATCTGGAGTACTCCCTATCAAGAGAGGAGTCTGACGAAGAGCTGTGGCTTCTTTCCTTTTGCTTTTTTGTGCGTATCTTGACGACCTGCTAGTGTCAATTTGCATTGGTGACGGGCCTGTCGATGAGACTGCTGTCATCACAGGGGTCATAAACGCAGGCGGGGGTTGTTGTACCATTGATCCTTTATGAGGGTACAGAGCTGGTCTACTCTGTACTAAGGAAGCTGCATATGATTCGCTACTTACAGCTGGTGCAACGTGTAATGGTGTACTAACATGGATACCTTGAGCTACATAAGGCGTACCAATATAGGACGATGCAAAAGTAGCCGTTGCTGGAGTAGTATAATGTTGGGGTTTATATTCCGTGGATGCTCCATCTATGCCTTTGAATGGATGCTGTGTTACCATACCTGAGGTTGTCCCATGCAGAGCCGGGGGCCCTGGCAGGCTTCCCTTGTCACTCAGTAGTGGCAACGAACCTTGTATATGATAGAATTCCTGCTCACTACCAACACTTTCTAGCATGCCTTTACCCTGAGGCTGTTTAACCAACACTGTGTTGTGCAGAGCCGAGGGCCCTAACACATTACCTTTGGCACTTGATACTGGAATTGCACCTGCCTTGGATTCAGGCTGTGTAGTCTGATCAATTGACATAATTGGTGAGAGACCAAATTTTGCAGTAATGGAGTACTGGCAATATATGGACTAGTTTCAACTTTCTGTTTAACAGGAGAATCCATAGAGGGGAGCTTGACTTCCTTATTCCTCCTGTTAACCAAATTGCTTACACTTGATGCCATCTGCTGAAATGAACCTGGGTGTTCAAATGCTCTTAAATTGCACAGTACTTGCCTCGTCATTAGCAGCAGCCATTTTCTCCAGCCGTCTTCCCAAGGCATTAAACTTATCCGATGTTAATTCTTCTAAACGTTTACCGTTAGCATCAATCTTCTTGTCAATTCTCTGTTCTGACCGTTGCACTTGTTGGGATATTGCCCCGATGTTTTCTGAACTAGCTTTCATTGCTTCTTTTTGTTCGGCTTGAATATTCATCAAACCGTGGAAAATTTGTTCAATGCGATCCTCACTTTGTTTCACTCTGTTTTCAGTCTCAGCAGCTCTTATTGCATTTGCTTTTCTATCCGCCTGAAACTCTTGATATAGCTGCTCCAACGACATTTTGGTATTTTCAGTGTGTTCTGTTAGAGTATTATCAGCTATGTATTCTTTTGTTAATATCTCATCATGTGTCAACTCCTCTGTTTCAATGTTTTCCTTCTGAGTCAGTTCATTGTCATCCCCAATTCCTGCCATGTTGTCTTTATTTCAAATTACAATATTCTTAAATATTTCAAATTACAATATACTGCAACTCAAAACAGTATGACAATATGCACTGAGTAATTACTCAAGGCAAATAAATCTCAAAATCACAACTTTTATGTGTGACTCAAGACATAAACAATGCAAGTTTTCAATAAAAGCTACTTCTTTTACAATTTCAAAATGCAGGCAACAAAAAGGATAGAACTGGAACAGAGACTCAGCTAACACACTGTACTTTATTATACGGTGTATTATATGTTGTTCATAAATATTTATGAGTGTATATACCTTCTTTAATATTAAATATCAGTCTAAATTCAGTATAAAATAATGTACGAAACTAATTTACTGAAATCAAGACTGTTTCCGGTTTGCTTCTGCGCAATGGAGTATTGCAGACAAATGACTTCCGTGAAGAAGGACCTAATGGCGATTAAACGGAAGTTCCTAACCTTATCTGATAAAAAATATCAAATATGAAGATTTCATACGTGCTAAACTGTAAAAATTTGATGCAATTAAATCTACAATCAATCTGAAGTAAATTTATGGTAATGCGCACGTAGTGAATTTACAAATCGTGAAGCATCAAAAGTTTTTAAATCTGCAAAGGCGCCCTCGTGGAGTCCGCCTAACTTGCTAAAAAAATAATAGTTGGAAACTTCTTTGTCGACGACGCCAATATTGTGCCGATATGGTACAAATAAGTTAGGTGTATGTATTAAACAGAATACCTGTTCTAAACTGTCGATGTCTGATGAATATAATCAGTCTAGCAGACAGCATACAATATAAACGTGTTGAAAAATAGCTAACGGAAGTCGAAGAGAATCTCTCTATTACGTCACGCAACACAGGGAATACTACAGCATGCTGTAGAATGTGGACTGGTTCTTCCTATACAAACTAACGGCACCACACTATCTATACTGCTGAAATAACGAGGTCCAATTTGTTAGCCGGCATGACGTAAACACGACGAATCAAAGAATTCAACTTTATATATAATTTATGTAGAACAATGGTGTTTAAAAATTACACTATTCCAGGCCTTTTGACATGTTTGATAGTCTCTGTTAATTTATTCACAAGTTTATTTTGACGCAGAGATATTTAGAGTTTAAACATATGTCTTTTGTTCAGACCTTATGTTAACGTCTAGATGTCTTTCTTTAATTGTGTCTTTTAAACAATGGTCTCGTCAGGTTGGTGTAGAATTGACGTATACCCCACATCTTTTTTAAATCATACATAAATGAGTCAGGTTACTGGAAACTTATGATCAAACTTTTTTGAATGAAGTTTCAAATGAGGTGATCAGTATGTAGAAATCTTTGATTGGAAGCCAATAGTAACTTTGAGTAAACCTGGAAGTAGTTTCTTATCGACTTTTTAGATGTGTAATGTGGAAAGACCTTCAATTGTTCTCTGAACAATTGGTTTTTAATTAAGTATTTGTTTCTTTTATAAAAGATAAAAAAGTGTTTCATGAATCGTGAATGAAGTTCAAAATAAAACAGGTCTGACAAGTCTGCGAATTCGTATATATTTAAAACAGTTTTAAATGTTTTCTTTGCAGAATAATGGCAAGTAACTGGAGTGTTTGCGGGGTGTGTGATTATCGCCACATTACAAAACCATCAGTTGTCTGGTGTTCAGAGTGTGATGAAGGGCTCTGTGAAGAATGTAAAGACCATCATGGTATTTCAAAAGGATCAAGAAATCATCAAACCGTATCTATTGCAGAGTATCAGAAACTGCCAAACAAAGTATTAAAATTGGCACGTTCTTGTGCTAAGCACAATGAGAAATACGTGCTGTTCTGTAAAAAGCATGACTGTCCGTGCTGCAAGAAATGTGTAGTGGAATCACACATGGAATGTAAAGAATTGACCGATATCGATGATATAACACGAAACATCAAATCTTCAAATGCTTTTGCAGACATCGAACAGACCTTATCAGAAATTGCAGAGAATATTAAAAGACTTCGAATCAACCGGGAAGACAATTTGGCGTCAATCGGGAAAAAGAGTAGAGAAATTGAAAAAGAGGTTCTAGAAACTCGTGCTAGGATTAATCTTCATCTAGATAAACTACAGGATGCTGTATTGAAAGAATTAAAAACGAAGGAAGAAGAAGAAACTAACAAAATACGACGACAACTGAAGTCATTAATAAACAAGGAAAAAGAGATCGCAGAACACCAAACAAATATTGGCAATATAAAGCAGTACGCATCAGAGCTGCAAACATTCCTCGCTTTGAAACACATGGAAGAAGATGTCGTAGCAGAAGAACAGTACATTCAATCAATAGTCAAAAGTGATGGTGCGAATCAAATTTGCTTTTCGTGCAAGATTGATCCCTCCTTGCAAGGTTTGATATCCGCCATTCAGAAATTTGGAGATGTCGTGGTGACAGCAGATCCATGTAATATACCAATCCTGAAACAGAAGGATAAACAAGCTCAGATGATGGTAGCTGTAACATCTGTGACTATCGATAGCCTAACACCTACATTGCAACAGACACTTGATACACAGCTGTTTAGTGTCAGGGGATGTACGCTTCTGTCTGATTCCTGGATTTTGAGATCGGAGACTTCGGTCCTGTATTCGATGTGACATACATAGGAGATGATTCAGTTGCTGTGACATCTGGTTATAATAACTCCTTTCAAGTTAAATTATTTGACTTAAAAACAAGGAAAGTAAAGAAAACATTTGAATTGAATTCAGTAAACACTGGGGTAACATACAGTGAAGACAAGTTGATTTATTGTGCTGGAAAAGATGGAATAAAAATGATCAACCTCAATGATGAATCTATTGTTAACATTACTAAAACTGAAGTAACTGATTTTTCGTATGTTGCAACATTCAGAGACAATATTTTCTATACAGACTGTAAAGACGATAGTGTAACCTGTATTGATTTTCAAGGAAACATACGATGGGTATTCACAAATGAAAGTGTTCTTAAAGTACCTTTGGGTATATCTGTAGACGGAGATGGAAATGTGTACGTAGTAGGAGATAAAACGAACAATGTAGTTGTTATCTCTCCAAATGGCCAGCACTATAGACAGCTTCTAACTAGTGAGAATAGATTGAAGGAGCCAAAAGTAATACACGTTGATAGATCAACTTGTAAGATGTTAGTTGCAAATAGAACAGGAAAAACGTTCGTGTATAGTCTTAACTAATTTGATAACAACGTAGTGTAATTCAATGCTTTTTGGACAACAGAAAATGTTTACAATAGATAAATAAATATTCTTCGGAATATCTTAAAATAATTACCTTGTTTTATATTTGTGTATATAAAGTATATAGAAATTCATAATGTTTGGGACATAATATAAATGCATGAGTTTTGCAAATTGCTGGAGGCAGCACGGTGATCTAGAGTACAAAGCCCTGTTCCTTTGTCTTTGGTGGATAGTAAACTGTCTCATTAGCAATTGTACCCCATCTACTTGTTTTTATTTGAGGCGTTTACTAAGAGTGCTATGCTGATCATGGAATATCTATATTTTACTTGAATTCCTTTTTAGCTCCCACCTGGTCCAATGGGCCATGTGAGCTTTTCTTATCACTTGGCGTCCGTCGTACGTCGTCGTCGTCTTCCGTTAACTTTTACAAAAATCTTCGCCTCTGAAACTAATGGGCTAAATTTAACCAAACAATCATTACTGGGTATCTAGTTTAAAAAAATGTGTTCGATGACCCCGCTTGTCAACCAAGATGGCGGATATGGCTAAAAATAGAACATAGGGGTAAAATGCAAGTTTTGCGTATTATTTTTAAAACCGCTATGAAAAGAGAAAATCCTGACAGGGCTAAAATGGTCAGAATGTTAAGCTCTATACCTATTGTTCAATTACATCAAAACTGTCAGACGACTTCTTGTATGAGTTATTGCCCTTAGATGATGAATTTTACCATTTTTTAAAAATTTTTGCCTATTAACTCGAAAATTATAATGATAGAAACTTTGAATAGCAAAAATAATCAGCAAAACAAGAGCTACAAATAAGTCAACATGTCCGAAATCTTCAGTCGACTCCTCATTAGAGTGATTGCCTTATAAATAATGACGATTTTTACATTTGTTTTGCGCTTTTGCCTAATATCTTAAAAACTATATTAGATAGATAGGAACTTTAAATAGCAAAAATGATCAGCAAGACGAGATCTACAATTAAGTTTAGCATGACCGAAATTGTTAGTCGATCCTTATTGAAGGTATTGATTGCCCTTTAATGACGATTTTTTTTTACATTTTTGCCTATTATCTTGAAAACTATAATTATAGATAGATAGAAATTTTTGATAGCACAAATGATCAGCAAGACAAGATCCACAAATAACCTATAATTGCCGAAATCTTCAGTCGACTCATTATTGGAGCTATTGCCCTTTAATGATGATTTTTAACGTTTTTTTGCCTATTATCTTGAAAACTATAACAGATAAATAGAAACTAAAAACAGGAAAAAATATCAGCAGGATAAGATCTACAAATATGCCAACATGACTGAAATTGGCAGTTAACGCTTAATAGAGTTATTCCCCTTTAATGATGATTTTTACTAAAATGTAGCCATTGTTGAAGATGCATGTGAAGGACACAGGCTCTTTAGAGTCTCTTGTTTGGTCTTTTGAAGATTATTATCTTCAAGCTGACACACTTGGCTATAGAATAAGTATTTTTGTTTTTTTAATAACGAAGTAATATTGGTCCTGATTATTTCAGTACAAAAATATTCGAATTTTAGTCCGTATTGATTAATTGTCGCAGTTTACCGTATAGTAAGCTATAATATCGTGAAACAATTAAAACGAGACAACCAACGGTCTGATGCATGACAAAACGATAAACTAAAAACAAATATGACAGACATGTAACAACGACACCCATTGAAATATTGTCGCCTGACTTGTGGCAGCCTGGCAGGTACACAAAGAATATGACGGGATTTACATGTGTGTGAGTGCTGAACCTCCCATTATCTAGGACAGTAATGTAACAGCACCGCATAACAATGTAAACATCAGTTGCAATATTCAGCTTGGAAATGGTTTGACTCAGACGAACGAAGCAACAAAAAAACAACTAGCATAATGACAAAAGACACAGAGTTCCGGTCTAAGAGTACTCACGGTTACTGACAACAAGTTTACAGCAAATTGCAACTAATAATTAAATTATGTTCTCCAAGACTAAAGTGTCTGGTTTCTCATAGTGGTGTAAACAGTAAAATAGCAAAAATACCGAACTGCATGGAAAATTAAAAAAATCCTTTATCAAATGGCAAAACAAAAGCTCAAACACATCAAACGAATGGAAAACAACTGTCATATTCCTGACTTGGTACAGGTATTTTCTTATGCAGAAAATGGTGGATTAAACCTGGTTTTATAGCTAGATAAACCCCTCACTTGTATGACGGTCGCATATAATTCCATTATATTAACAATAATGTGTGAGCAAAACAAGCAAACATAATAGGTAAAATTGTCAAAATTGGGTACAGCAGTCAACATTCTGTTATAATCTTAATTACTATAAAACAAATAATTATTTCAACAAAGAAAACAACATGGCATATAGACACTATATAGTACATAAGCAAAAATGAAAGACAAGAATACAAAAAATGACCATAGCACAATAACGCAATGGCGGGATGTATAAATACTGAACCACGCCAAAAGTATATTAGCAAAAATGGACTAAACAGTAAAGGTTACAAAATATACAAAGACAAATAAAAAGAACACTATAATATGTATAACACGTAATTAAAATGATAAACAACGACAGTACATAGAATCTATACTTGAAGACTATCATGTATTATTTGTGAAGTTGATACGGAATATTTATCAACAAGGTCTTGGTATCTTCCGATGAACTTTTTTTTAGAAAAAGGACGAGACGGTCTTTGGCATAACCCCGGTTCATCAACTTTCTGCTCAGACACTGATGACGTTTTATAAATTCTGAGTAGCAGCTGAAAGCTCTTGGATACCGCATTAGTTGGGGAATGTATATCCCACATGCAGGGGAAGTTGGTATATTACTGCTATAGTGGAGGAAATTTTTAATTTCAAAACAAAAATCGTCTCGTTTGTCATAGATTCTGGTACTAAGATGACCGCTTACGTCAAATTCGAGGTATAAGTCTGAAAATGAGCGGAGGAAGCCGTGTCTGTTTTTTCTTTATTTTCTAACTCTGGAGGATATATTAATGAAACCAACGAGAACAACAATTAACGAGAACCACTGAATTACAAGCTGATGACTTAGGGCAGGAACACAAAGAATGTGGCGGGGTTAACATGCTTGTGAGCGCTCAACCCTCCTCCTGCTGTTATACCATTGTCTCTGTTGGAAATGGCTCGACTCATCCGATCGGAAGGAAGCACTAAAACAATTTACACAAAGACAAAAGACAAAAGACAAAAAGAACCCATAAAGTATTACTTGCAGTTAATAAAAGTTAGTTCCATGACAATAAAAAAATATAAATAAATCACGTTCTCTCAGACTAAGTTGTCAATCAGAACACATCCATCGGATTTAGTTTGAAGACGTAATGAACAGTCTTACAAAAGCACCTTGTGCAATGCCAAAAAATAAAAAATAAGTACATAATATCAACAGGATCTAGGACTTATACTTTATAATACATTAAAAGCTATACATGTTTAGTTATTTGTTAATTTATCAAATACAAAACCAATGTTATTACCGATAAAACCCATATTCAAAGATCTTGCTACGGTGTTAAATTGATATCATTTACGAATCAGATGTTTGTTCAAAGGAACAATAAGGTTGTGTATCAAATGAATGATCGCAACAACATTGATTTTTTGCCTAGAACGTCCTGTGACAAATCGTGCATTCTTATGACGCCAGGGCATAAGAGAAGTTGTTAATCAAAATGAGAGTATACAACGTTTGAGGCTCAAGTTATTTGCTATAAAATGTTCTGACCTTCCCAGAACAATGTTTGATATTCTCGTTATTCAAACCCGTTTCTTTTATATTCTATCATCTGAAACAGTAATCCTGATAGCTCCCCTCGTCCTT